GAACCACGGAAGGTTTTAGCGAATGGAAAGTTTAAAGAATATGGAGAGAGGTAGTTTATATATGTGTGTGTGGGGGGTGAGGGTGTGTGTGTGGGGGTGAGGGGGTGTGTGTGTGGGGGGGTGGTGTGTGTGTGTGTGTTAGTGGTGGTAGAGGTGGTGAGACGTATGGGTACTGGGTTAAAAACACATTAAGATGATAACGTCACATAATATTCACCACAGAACGAATTTTCTGTATGCATAATAATATCAGGGTTTTTTATCTTTTAATTAATCTGTAATCTTTTTTTAATCATATTAACACACTTACACAAATGTTATTAATGTGTTTTGTCGATTTGTAGTTTCAATAAATGACCTTTTGACTCCAGGCGTTGACATAGTGAAATGTGGCTGGCTGACACCGTAGAGTTATTTCTCCACGGCCCCCATAGAATTTTCTGACCGACAAAATATAAATAACGAAAATCACGTATAAACACCAACACAAAGTAACTCACATACAGATCAATTATTAAAACGCATTCTATGTACACATATTATAGGAAGGTAATTAATAAATACCCCGAATAAAATCTGATAAGCTGATTTGACCTTTATTCTGACACTTTCATTATAATATTTAATTTAATTTATATATTCTTAAAATACATAAAATTAGATAAAGTAATCTAATACTCCTATTATTATTAATTACTATTTAATCATATTTAAGTTAATATCACTAATAATCCAACTAATTATATAGATTTTCTCCTAAGACGTAAATAATTAACTAATGGACTTAAATCTTGAAGACGGTCGGGGTAAGGAGCTTAGAGTGTCTGAAGAACTTGCAGGGCTCAGGTGAAGGTCTCAGCCATCAAAAGGGGTTGTGTTATATGTAGGTGACATCTGTGGCAGTTTCTTGATGAGGTTAATCGTTTTGAAGGAGATTTTGTGGTCGTGTTCTCATGACTGTTGTGGGGGTTTGTTGTTGATGTGGTAACGATGATGAGAATGATAATGATGATAATTTTGTTTATTATTTTATTATTATTATTATTGTTGTTGTTGTTGCTATTACCCCAGCTACTATCACAACCTTATCCTCGACTACTACCACCACCTTCAACTGTCATTATCACCACCAACCACCACCACCACCAACCACAACCACCAACCACCACCACCACCAACCACCACCACCACCACCACCAACCACCACCACCACCACCACCATAAATGAATTCAGAAACCTGATTAGAGTTCTTCTGTTTTTCACGAATTTAATTGAAGACGGCAGATTTAATTTAGCATTTTCAGAATTGAGTTAGTAGTCCACCTTGTTTGGTGATACGTCAAGTGACAAGACATAATGACACCCTGACTACCTTATTCTACCACTTACGGTACCTTAATATCTTATTCTACCACTTAATGTACGACTTATTATACCTTAATATACCACTTGATATCTTAATCTACCACTTATAATGCCTTAATATACCACTTCATATACCTTTGTCTACCACTTAATGTACCACTTACTCTACCTCAATCTACCATTTAGTATGTCACTTATACCATATTCTACCACTTACACTACCTTAATTACCACTTCCTATGCCTTAATCTACCACTTAATATATTAATCTACCAATTACAATACCTTAATCTATCACTTAGTATATCACTTATACCTTATTCTACCACTTACAATACCTTCGTTAAACTGACTTAATCTACCACTTAAAATATCGTAATAAGTGGCATTTTAAACGTCTAAAAATAATTACTTAACCATTTTCTTTAATTAATAATCATCATTTTAGAATAGTAAATTAAATCCACTTTAAAGTACCAAAAGTATATGGAAATAATAACTTTATAATTAAAACTTAAGAAATAACTAGATACGAGGTTGAGTAGTGTTGGTACCTACTCATATGTACCGGTATAGCATCATGTACTGCATCTACCTTGAAGTAAATATGTAGAATCTCTCTCTCTCTCTCTCTCTCTCTCTCTCTCTCTCTCTCGTGTGCCATAACTTATTGTATACTATTTTATTATTCTCCCAAGTCTAATGTTTTGACCCTTTGAATATAATTGTACTCAAGGGGATTGAGTACATGGTAATCAAAGGGTTAAAGACATATATCACTGGCAGTCTTTCTACATGCATACATACATACATACATTCATACATACATACACATATACATACATACATACATACATACATACATAAAGAATGAATCGTATTCAATGACATTTATATTCAGTCATATATAAAACTCGCTCTCAGTTTATTATTTGTTTTCAATAAAAAATACGGTAATATTTTTGGAATAGTGGAGTCTTAATCACGTTAACATCTTCACTACGAGGACGCTGCCACTTTTAATACTTTATTTGGTTAACATAAGGCGATTTTACTCAGCTCAGAGGGAACCGCGTGTTCAAGGGATTAGTACACTATTTCCCTTCACCTATCTAAGTGTATTTACATTATTTTTTTAGTTTGGGGGAAATTTTTGAGATTATAAGGAAAATTTTTATATTTAGGGACTTTATTAAGGGTAATCAGGGTATTTTTTCAGCATCTCTCACAAACCAAACCTAACCTAACCTCACCTCACCTCATCATCTCACCTTACCTCACCCTCGAATTCCTGCGTTAAGCGAAAATCAGCCTTTGTGACGACTCTCCCTCTCACTTAAATATAGAATTTTACTGTAAACATTTTTTTTACAGTCACACAGTCTGGATGTGTCGTGTTTTCTCCTTTTATTGACTGTAAAAATCTTTATGATCTCGGTATAAAAATCTGGGTTTATTTTATCAGGTTTTTTATTCGATTAAAATTACTCTTTTTTTCTTGTACTTTAGAACATTTCCATTTTTTTCGTTTTTCTAATCTTGAAAGAAATAGATTGTGGCCTTTGTTGCCTTATGGATAAATTATTATTTAAACAGAGAAAAGAGAAGGAAGAGAGAGTTTGTTTTAAGTTGTAATCATTTTTTTTAGTCTAGTTTATTTATAATTGGGTCGTAACGCTTGTTTGTCCATGATCCTAATTCGTTTTGTATCTTCCCTTATTAGTAAGAAATATACCCAAGGTTTATCATCGTTCTTTGAATATATTTAGATTTATTTATTGTTCATTTACACCTTTGGGAATGTTTTTTTTTTTTACACATGTCTTATTGGAACTTTTGTAAATGATGTGAAACTTTTACCATGTTAGGGTTTTGTAAATGACATAAAGCCTGTTTGAGCGTCTGTAAATGACGTGAAATAACAGCAGTTCCTTTCAGTCCTATAAAACACCACGACTAGGTACAGTTATGAGAGAGAGAGAGAGAGAGAGAGAGAGAGAGAGAGAGAGAGAGAGAGAGAGAGAGAGAGGTCTTGACTTCTGACCATCAGTAAACGAGGAACTGGTGTTTTTCTAAAGTCTCCAGATCTATAAACCATCTCACCCTCCCTCCGTACTCGGTAGCTGCCCTGTCAAATCCTTCGAGTTATGTTCCTTCCTGAAAATCGCCGGACTTACACTCGTTCATGAATTCCTTGATTTAATGGAGTTTCTTATCCTTTGGAAGAAATATGAAGACCTTGGTGGGGTGTTCTGGTATTATGAACAGTCTCAAGCAGCTTTCAGTAATTAGGGACTTGTTTCCTGGAAGACACTGACGTTGTAAAGTTTCCCCGAGTGTCGTGTTAGTGTGTGTGTGTGAGGGGGGGGATCTCTGGAAAATGTGAAGTAATTGAACAACATGTGTGTAGAGTCTATTTCCAGTATCTTGGTTTTTTAATTGGACTGTTCATGTACACTATCGTTATCAGTGTGTGGATATTGTTAGCGAATTGTGTGTGTAAGATAATTAGTCCTCTGGAGTTATGGAATCTCTTCAGCCCCCTTGGAGTTGTGGAAGCACCTCAGTCACTTTGGAATTATGGAAACTTCAGCCCCCAGGAATCATAGAAGCTCTTAAATCTTTGAAATTGCCGAAGCTTTTCAGGCCCTAGGAATTATAGAAGCTCTTCAGCCACCCTTTGAAATTGTGGGAGCTACTCAGTCACTTTAGAATAATGGAAGCTCTTCAGGCCCCTGGAATTATAAAGTTTCTGGAATATCCTGGATAAATGGGCCCCCTGAGACACGGTGAAGGATGGGCTGCACTGGAATATACGCCACACTATAGGTCGTTATTATTCCTGAAGGTGAGGTGGCTGCTTGCTAACTCAAGTGTCGGGGGAATACTTGAACACTAGATGAGATTTTTCTGGTGTTTCATGATGTCTCTGTCATATTTTCTTTAATCTCTCTCTCTCTCTCTCTCTCTCTCTCTCTCTCTCTCTCGCTCTCTCTCATTAAAAAATATCGAATTTGGGCTCCGTTAGGATAAAAGCTTTTCAACTTAACTTAACATCCCACCAGTGCCATTACAGAAACGGCACCTGAACACGCTACTAGGCACCCTCCTTGGCACCGGCACCTTCCCGGCAAACAAGTAGATGGAAAATAAATTGATAAATAAGGAAAATGGGTTAGAATGTGGGGTAAAATGTAGATAATGAAAAGAAAATAAAGTAAATAAATGAAAGTTAGTAAAATAGTTAAAGGAAAGTTAATAAAAGTTGGTATAAAGAATGGTAGAGAAATTATTTAAAAATTTAGAAGTAAATAAAGAAAATATGTAAACTTTTTCTTTCTGTCTCCCCTCAGTAAACTTTCTCTTATTTTCTCTCCCCTCAGACAGTGTATCAACTCTTCCATTATCTCCCCTCAGACGTGTATAACCTTTCTCTTCCATTATCTCCCCTCAGACGTGTATAAACTTTCTCTTCCTTTCTCTCCCCTCAGACGTGTATAAACTTTCTCTTCCTTTCTCTCCCCTCAGACGTGTATCAACTCTCTCTTTCTCTCCCCTTAGACAATGTATCAACTCTTTCTCCCCCATTATCTCCCCTCAGATGTGTATAAAATCTTACTTTCTCTCCCTTCAGAGGGCGGCAGCCGACAATTCGACAAGTTTCTGGGTCTGCTGGGCGAGCGGGTCCGTCTGCGTGGCTGGGACAAGTTCAGAGGGGGACTTGATGTTAAAGGTAAGGATGAGTCTGTTCTTGACTGAGGTGTTGGTGGATCTTTTGCTTCGAACTGTGACTCTTAAGATGTTTATGTCTGGATATTTAAAAGATTCTGCTTAGAGTTGTGATTGAACTGCTTCGAATTATATCTGAGCTGATTCAAATTATACCTTGAACTGATTCAAATTATATCTGAGCTGATTCGAGTTGTATTTGAACTGATTCGAACTTTATCTGAACCGCTTCGAGCTTTACCTGAACTGATTCTAATGATTCTGTTTCAAGCTATAAATCATTCTGCTTCAAATTGTATGCAAACATTTAAAAAATATTCTTCGAGCTGAATTTGTGATATTTTTTCATTAACTTAAAAATTCGATATAATTTTTTGCCTGTGAACTTAAATTTCGATATATATTTTGATTAATGTTTCAAACACAGGTACAGTCATTAAAAATACCTTTAACTCATTTTTCCCCTATATATAAAAACAATGAGTATTTTTCCCGTTATAATTTATATATATAGGATATTTTTTCAAACAAGGAGTTAAATACAAAAACAAACAAAAAACAATAAAACATTTCTATACATTTGCTCAACTTAACGCTCAGACAAAAAATAAAAATAAAAAATGGTTCACCACCTATTTTTTTTGAGGCTGAAATATCCTCTTGGAGCCAATATTTTCAGTGTGTAAATCCCTCCCCAATACTTGTCCACTTCATCATTGTTATTACATGCAAGTTTGACAGGGCGAGCCATTGTAGATCTTACAAGAAGTGGTGAACATATATTGTGTACAATACATTACCGCCTTACTGCTGTCTCCTCCACTCGTGTCCTGGTAAATAACAGCACAGTTTATTTTGCCTGGTGTGTCCTCAATGGTGGGGAAGTAGTGTGTGGTCTCAGGGGATATGGAGGGATGTGTCCTTAGTGGTAGGGATGGGGGGTGTTGGGGTAGGGATGGGGGATGTGTTTGGGTGTGTCCTCGGTGGGATGGGATGTGGTGTGTCCCAGCATCCATTTGTGTAGCCCAGGAGAATTTAATCCCCGGATGTGTTGTAGGCGTGGTAGTATCATCTCTGAGGAGGAAAGGGAAGTGGTAGGAGGAAAACTGTTACTATTTTTGTCCTCATCTACGTGTATTGTGTGTGTGTGTGTGTGGTGGTGGTCAGTTAGTTCGTGTATCGTGTTGAGTTCATTAATCTATAGTTTTATCAAATCATAGTTGTATTATTAGGTTATCATTATCTATCATTCTATATCATTCGCTTCTATCTTACATCTATCATTTCAACATCTCCTGCTGTGAATGTAACTTAATGCCCGCATGTAATATTTTCAACCCCGTCTTCACTGTCTTCTCAACTCATTATAATACCTTGGCTCTGGCTTCTGGTAGTGCGCGAGTGTAGTGTTCACGTCTTAACTGGGAACCTGAGAAGCTACCCATTATGTTTCGTCTGTGGGAAAAAATGGTTGTAGCTGAGATGATATGAACTGTGATATGTGTTCTGTCGTTATTAAGATGTGTTGAGATGTGTTCTGTTGTTATTAAGATGTGTTAAAATGTGTTCTGTCGCTATTGAGATGTGTTAAAATGTGTTCTGTCGTTACTAAGATGTGTTGAGATGTGTTCTATCTCCCGTGTGTTCTCTTATCCGTGTGTTCTCTCATCGGTGTGTTCTCTTAACTACCCTTACGACAGAGAAAGGAAGGGAAAGGATAAAAAATATAAATCCCACACTTAACAAAACTCAAAGAGATCCTTACAGTCACTCCTAGTATTACCAAGTCAAACTCTATTTACCCTAATGCCTTACCTTCGCCTGATGAAACGAACATCTTCTAAAAAAAATATTAAAATTGTTTTCTTTGAACTGTATATATCCGCTTTGGTTCACAGTAAGAGAAAAATTTATTCCTTTTTTCTAATTTTATTTTTTCCTAAATATTTGCTAATCTCCTTAATGACTTAGATCTTAGTGAACGATATATTTGGAGTTAATTTTGTTAAGTTTATTTTATTGGTTTTTTTTTCCGTTCATTGTGAGAGGTCAAAGCCCAGATGCTTGTTGATAAAGAAACTTGTATTTTTGTTTTTCCAAGAACGGTAATGGAGAAACAGAAAAATAATGAGATGACTCGGGTATAGAATTAGTGAAAGATATGGAAGAATAAGAGTGAAGAAGTTTGTAGATAGAAAAAAATGAGAAGAGAGAGAGAGAGAGAGAGAGAGAGAGGAGGTCCCAAATCCCTCTGACAACCAAAATTAGAGACAGACAGACAGACAAACGAAAAGAAAAAGGAATAAATAAATAAATAGACATCCATTTAGCAGCGTAACAGAAGAGCAGAAGCAGCAGCTGTTACCTGTCAAATTATGGAGACGTATATGAGATATGGGGGGCCTCTGCTGGTAGTACCTTGGGGGTAGGGAAGGAAGGAGAGAGAGAGAGAGAGAGAGAGAGAGAGAGAGAGAAAGGGGAGTGTAACGGAGGAAAAATTGTGTGATGGAGGAACAGGGAAGTGAGGGGGACTGACGAGGGGAGATAGGAAGAGGAGGAGAGTGAGGGTTCTGAGGACGAGAAGAGAGGAAAAAGAGGGAATGGTAAATGTAATGGTGGAGAGGAGGAAAGTCGAAGCTGTTAGGTGAACGAGGGAAGAAGGGAGAGAGAGAGAGAGAGAGAGAGAGAGAACAGGTGTATGCAGATGTGTGAGAATAATGGCAGGTGTTAATTAAATGGACTCAAGGTGTTAAGTCATTGTACTCAAGGGACGAGTTTCGAGTTTCAGTATTATCTTGTCTCAGCCCTAGTTTCACCCCCAGCCCCAGTCCTAGCCACCCCACCTAGTTTCACCCCTAGTCCTAGTTCAGCCCCTAGTCTAGTTTCAGCCCCCTTAAATAGTAATAATGGGTTCTTGGGGAGGGCAATGATGATCCCTCCTCTCCTCCACCTCTCACCCCCTCCCTCCACCACCCACTTCCCTCCCTCACCACCTCCCTCACCCTTCTCTCACCCTCCCCTCCACCACCCACTTCCCCTCCACCCTCCCTCCCTCCACCCTCACCCACCCCACCCCCTCTCCTTCACCATTTCCCTCCCCCTACCCCTCACCCACCCTCACCCCTCCCCCCTCACCACCCTCACCCTCCCCCTCCCCCTCCCCTTGTGGCAGACAACACGGGATTAATGTAGGTATTTTTCCTTAATTCGCCTCGTGAGGACCAGAGGGATAGAGTATGAAAGGGGTTATATTGACCTCTATGCCATTGGGTTTTTAAGGGCGACAGGTGCTGGCTATAAGGGGGTGTGTGGGGTAACTGCTCCGTTCATACACAGAAGAATATTGTTGTGGTATGGAATTGTCTGTTGTTCTCTTGTTTTTATTTATTTTGTTTTGTTTCTTCGTTTTGTTTTTATTCGTTTTTTTGTATATATGCGATTTTTTTTTACAATAGAATTTTAACATAGGTTCTTTACTTCTTTATGCTTATATGTACATTTAATATACGTGAAATATATTCGTTTATGTGTACTGGAAAAAAATCCTATATTCTTAGTGAAAAAAATATATTTAAAATTTGCCCCACCCCATGTTTATTTCACTTTAAAATTGTGTCATTAAAAATCCCTCGGAATGGATAGTGTGTTGGTCAGATTGTTTAGTTATTTTGGGGAAGAGTTCAAGTCTTCAAAAAATTATACAAATTATTATATTTTGACACCTTACAGTAAACAAAATACTTTTATGAAAATTATTAAAGCTCATACGTAGAATTGAAAGTACAGGTCAGGTTAAGTCAGGTCAGGTCGCAGTACTCAGAATTTATGATAATTCGGGTAACTTACGAACACTATTTCCAATACTAAAATCACAATATATACAACATGGCTACGTGGATGCCTGATAAAAATAAACAATAATGGATCGTAAGTAATGTGGATCTTCCCAATGAGAAAGATGAGTAGGCCTATGAGAAAGATGAGTAGGCCTATTTAGGGTCTTCGAATTTTATGCCATTGTGGGATTACTTTCAACTCATAAATCATTGTTTTGGATTAAGGGAGAGAGAGAGAGAGAGAGAGAGAGAGAGAGAGAGAGAGAGAGAGAGAGAGAGAGAAAAATAGATGACGAGCAGAACAAGAAGAGATAAGAAAAAGAAGGAAAGGGAAAAACGAAGGAGGTGGTGAGGGTGAATAGGTGAAGAAAGGAGAAGGATTGAGGAAGTAATGTACAAGGTGATAATGAGTGAAGAAGAGGTGAGATTGGGGAGAGAGGAAGTGGTGAGGACAGAAGAGGAGACGAGAGAGAGAACAAAAAGAATGAAGGAGGGAAGAAAGAAGTGGTGAAGGGGACTGGATATGAAGAAAGAAAGAGGGAAGTGATGAAGAGGAGAGGAAGAGAGTGGCAGTGGGGGTGGAGGGAGTGGGGCAGTGACGGTGGGGAGGAGGGGAGTGGGGCAGTGACGATGGGGAGGGAGGGGGTGTGTGTGTGACCATAAGACAGGCTGCAGAGGGCTGGCGGTGGCGTTAAGCACACACGCACGCATCTCATTTACACACCCAGACGCCCTAATCGACCCGTGATGACCCCGACACCCAGACGCACCACCCTGGGTCAAGAGGGAGGAAGGGAGAAAGGAGGGAGGAAGGGAGAAAGGAGGGAGGAACGAAGGAGGGAGGTAGTAGGTTGAGGAAGGAGACAATAGGGGCGTGAGAGGGGAATAGGTGGAGGGGTGATTATATTAACTCAGAGAGAGAGGCGGTCGTTGATTCAGTAATTTAAGGTCACGTTAGGTCAGGTCAGCTAAGATGGTTCAGTGGGGGAGAGAAAAGGTGGGAGGAGGAAGCAACAGACCACCTTAACACACACACAGACACACACACACACTCACACACACACACCAAAGAGATGGGAGAGGGAGGGGAAGGGGGAGATGATGACGATCGGGGAAGGAAGGAAGGAAGAAGAAGAAGAAGGAGGAGGAAGACATCAAGGTTCTGAGG